ACTGAGTTTAGTTTAGTCATTTATATTTGTTTCGATTCTTGCAGTTTTACAACCACTCTTTTTTTAGAATTAAATTCCTGTCCAAATGCACATTTTATGTTACAAGTACTTGAAATACAGAGGTATCTCTTATTTCAAGTGAGCCGCGTTCCATCAGACCTCATACATACTTCTGCGTTGAATTGACTTGAAGATTTCCTTCTTTTCCAATTAAATGCATTCAAGGTAATAGACATAAGGTCAGAGGCCTTTGATCATTTGACCTTGCACAATTTAATGGACACCAAAAATGTGGGCTCAGAGATTATCGGACCAAGTTCAGTGGTGATTACAAATTATCACTCGTCTCAAAGTTCAGCATAGAAGAAGACAAACAATTTTTGTGACGATATGCAGTGTTCACAGCCGAGGCAGCAGATGGTCACAACGCTGTTGAGTCCATTGGTTCAGCTGTGCAGGTGAGCTAGTCCATGTTCACTTCGATTGGCTTCGATTGTTGATTATATCGCTTTACTTACTGAATATTAGTGTTTTTTTATTGCTAGTGGGGCGGGACTAAGTCCCTTGTACTGCGGCCACTTCTGGCCTATTGTACCAGACCCAGATAATAGGTGAGGGTGCTTGTGCAGCAATTGGTGGAATGAAGATTGGCAGGGGAAACCGAAGTACTCGGAGAAAACCTGCCCCAGCACCACTTTGTCCACCAGAAATCGCATTTGACCAGACCCGGGATCGAACCCGGGCCGCCGCGATGGGAAGCCAGCGACTAAGGGCTTGAGCTATGGCGCGGCCTCACGACCAGGTTAGTCTATACATGTTTTGTCCACAGAACATCTTAAAATTTATTCATACTTCAATATTTGATACATTCTCTTTCTTGTGAAGCTGATAAATTGCTGATTAAGAAGTTATATATTATGGAATAATTACATCATGTATATCACCAAGAGTTGCCATTTGGGCCAATTTACAACCATGTAATTGCAATTCGCATCCAAGAAACCTGTTTAACGTCCATCTTGGACCGCGCCATAGCTCAAGCGGTTAGTGGCTGGCTTCCCACCGCGGTGGCCCGGGTTAGATCCCGGGGTCTGGTCAAGTGGGATTTGTGGTGTTCAAAGTGGCGCTGGGGCAGGTTTTCTCCGAGTACTTCGGTTTCCCCTGCCAATCTGCATTCCACCAATTGCTCCACAATCACCCTCACCTATCATCTGGGGCTGATACAATAGGCCAGAAGTGGCCTCAGTACAAGTGACTTAGACCTACCTTACATGCAATAAAAAAATTAAAAAAAATAAACGTCCATTTTAATATTGTCACTTGAAGGGTGGTAACGCGTGACGAAAATAAAGGGTTCTAGTTCGGATGATTGGATATAATAGCACCTTGGTTACAAGTTCACACTTAAATACAGCGCTATCGCTGATTTACACACTTTCCAGTTCACCGTTTGACACGCACTAGGATTGTCCGTCTTCATTATTCGTCTTCTGGCACCGATCTCAACACAGAAACTAGCAGTTCAAATCACTATGACGTCTTCTTGCTGCTTCCTCTTTAATGAGTCTGGAACCTCGGAACTAAAATTTTTTCTGGACTCGCTCCTCTAGCTTACGGCTGGCTCGTAACTGCCCTGAAGGAATTCTGTCACTCTTATTTATATAGCCGCGGAATGGACATGAACCTACAGTAAACACATATCACGTGATGCCTATCCAGCCAGTCCATTAGTGCGTAGGTCCGATCTACAAAAATCATACCTTCCTCTACTGTTGCGTGTTGGACCGTGTTTATAGAGCTGTTGCCTGGCAACGCATTGCTCAAATCCGTTACAATATTATCCTCTTCTCTATGTCTACTTGTCCACTGCGTTCTCTTCCAAAAGGATTTTCTAACAACAATTTTTGATACATGTTTGTTCTCCTTTTGGCTTATTTTGGACTTCACCCATCGTCCGGTATATAAAAAGACAAAAAACCACAACGTTTCGGAGACTGGATCTGTCTCCGTCTTCAGGTGTATAGGTTAAACCTTCCCTATACACCTGAAGACGGAGACAGATCCAGTCTCCGAAACGTTGTGGTTTTTTGTCTTTTTATATACCGGACGATGGGTGAAGTCCAAAATAAGCCAAAAGAAGTACAGTATACACCATCGTCAGAATCCTTTCAAGTCTATGTTTGTTCTCGGTGAGCAATACATTTTCCGTCCATAAAGCCGGAAGGTCGCGGGTTAAAGTCTCGATTATGTCATTGGACTTTTTTCAGTTGACCTAATCCTTCCAGCCGCACTAGGCCCTGGTGTTTACTCAGCCTGTAACAGAAATGAGTCCCAGGAATTAATTAAATAATTTTCCAGGGGAGTAAAGCGCGACCAGCGCGTAGGGCTTACAACCTTACCGCCATCTTTGAGCCGCTTGTCTAGACAATGTGGGGCCCTCAACGTCTCACAACCCTATGGGCCTTCACGGCCTGGCACGGGGATAGCTTTACTTTTTTTACTTTACTATTTTTTTAATTTAATGACATAACCTAACTTATTAAAGGTGAGGTAAGAGGTAAAGCTGTTCTTACAATTAACTAATTAAGCACTACACCATTAAGGTGTATGGCGAGTTGATGTATAGATCCATATTTTCTTGACCTCGACGCTGTTTCGAGGTGAGTGGGTAGCTTCAGGCCACGGTCGTTTTACGCCCGGAGAAAGAATCCCATGTACTCATTGTATAGGAAGCTGGGCGGGCCCCAGAAACGGTCTGGACGACGCGGAGAAGATAAAATTCTTGAAGCTACCGGATCCCTCCTACCTAACTTGACCTATATAACGTTATATATACAGGCTTACATATTCGTTTAAATAAATACAGAAAATATATATAATGCAAAATAATTAAAGGAAATGCCGATCACGGTGACCACGAGGCTTAAGGCATAAACTGTTCTCGTCCGCTTGAAACCTGGGATTGTGGGTTCGAGTCCCACTCGAGAAGTGGATGTCTGTTTACGTTTCTTCTGTGTTTGTACTGTCCTGTGTGTAGGTACGGGTCTTGCGACGGGCTGATCTCCCATCCAAGAAGTCATGCCGATTGTGTATAGATTAAGAAACTGAAAAAAAAGACCATGGCCCAATAAAGTACCGAAGCGCCATTAGTGGATGGATGAAGGAAATACCTGAAGAGCCTAAAGGAAATAGTCTCATTATGATGAAGGGCTCATCGTTATTTCTCAAACAAAACTATTCTGTATATTGGCTGAGTCTGGAAAGTTAAGTGATAAATTGAAAAAGCGAATGTTTACCTAAATTCAGCCCGTCAAAGGTTCCCGAAACAATTGAAAAATGTAGAACATTTCACAGTTCTAAAATAAACACTCGATCATTGTATTAAGTGTATATATATTATATAAAGCTATTTCCTATAGGCGAAACAAAAATGTAAAACATGATACTTCAGTCGGTATAGCGACTACCGGCTTGACGACAGAGAAATCGAAGTCCTGACAGTAGTAAGCAATATTTCTTCTCTTCATGGTGTCCAGACCAGTTCTGGGACCTATTTAGTCTCCTATCCAATGGTTAGCAGGGGCTCTTGCTTAAACGTAAATAGTTCTTCTAGTGCAGAGGTTACGAATGCGTGGAAAAATTACGTATCTCCATGGTTCATGTCTTGATCATGTCGTCTCGAATTATGAGCAAAGACAGATATGCGTTTATCATTTTACAAAATATAAATATTACCAGCACTTAAAAATATAGGATGGTATTTCCTTCATATGAAAGCAAGTAGCCTTGACAAATGAAATTTTATCCTATAAAGAGATAAAGCGGAAAAAGGTATGCATCAAGTTCTTATCCTGTTTACCACATAGCTAAACGTTTGATTGTGCATTTGGCTTCTCTTCAAGAGAATGTCATTACACCGACAAAATTAGCGGGTTTTTATTATTATCATTTTAAGAACGTTGGAGGAGGTTTGACCCTAAACCGGAGCCTTGGTACGTTTCTGTGATTTAGGGAATTTTATTCTCACAAGGTGCCATAATGTAACCGAAAAGAGGCATGCAATGGAAAGGCTCTAGAAATTAATTTTACAGATGCTCTGTTCGAATCCAGTCCAAGATATCTGCTCTCCTGACTGAGAATTTTCGTGGTTTTTCTCAGTTCAACCATACAAATGTCTTGGGTAGGTCACGACTGCTTCCTTCTAAATTCTATCCAATTAATTATTCACCAGTTTCCTCCTCTGTGGTCTAGTGGTCAGAGTTCCTGGCTACAAATCCAGAGGTCCGGGTTCGATTCCCGGCGTTACCAGATTTTCTGAGAAGTAGTGGGTCTGGAACGGGATCTTCTCAGCCTCGTGAGGATAATTGAGGAGCCATTTCAAGGAAATAGCTGTTCCGGTCTAGAAAACCGAGATTAAGGGCCATGTGAATCCGTTGCGCTGATCACGTGACACCTTCTACCTGCAAAAGTTGGCACAAACTTCGATGACAAGTGGCCGTCGCTCGGTCGGTATAGTTCGCTTGCGGATTACAGGCCACTGAGTTTTTAATGAATAAATAATAATGCTATCGTTCGGCACTATATTCTGGGACACAGAGAGCGCCGCAAAACAAAAGAAAAAAGTAACGATGAACCATCGTATGACCTGGATATATAAAGTAATTCATTTTTTTCTAGGGTGGGGTGACACTGAGTCCAGTCGGTACGCCGACCACTAATTGGTCTATTCAACTAGACCCGGATGATAGAAGAGTATGGAGTATTTGGTGGAATGGAAATCGGCTGGGGAAAGAGAAGTACTTGGAAGAAACTTGTCCACTGTGTCATATTTCACCACAAATCCCACATGACTTTACCTGGGATCGAAAGGGGACCTCCTCAGTAGAAAGCCGGCGACTAACCGACTGAGCTATGACAAGGCCAATATTTAAACTACGCACAGAATAATGAAGTCAGGGCACATTTTGTGGGCTAATGAAGGTCATACTTTTACGTTGCAGCTTTACAGTCTCTGGGAGCTGAACAGCCAACATGCTGGAGGTCATCCTTGGATGGTTTGCTCTGGTCATTCTTCTTGCCGTGTGTGCGTTCCTGGTCACGGTCCCGTACAATCAGGATCCCGTCCTCAAGTTAGCGGACCCAGAAGGCATTAAAAGGATTCCAGGACCAAGAAGCTTACCGTACCTGGGAAGTGTTCTCACGCTTAACGTTCCTCGGGAAAGTAAGTTGAGCGATGTCTCTCGGATTGAGGACGTGGGACTCATCCGACAGAAAGTAATGCAAAATAATTTCTGCCATTTCAATGAAGTTCAGTAGGTTCTGGTGAAATAACATCGGCACACAGCATAAAACGGAGCGACTCTAGTGGTACTATTTTTAGCCTAGATTCCTCACTTTAGGACCGCCTCTGTGGTCTAGTGGTCAGAGTTCCTGGCTACAGATACAGAGGTCCCGGGTTCGATTCCTGGCGCTAACAGATTTTCTGAGAAGTAGTGGATCTGGAACGGGGTCCACTCAGCCTTGTGGGGATAATTGACGAGCTATTTCAAGTTAATAGCGGCTCCGGTCTAGAAAACCGAGATTAACGGCCGTGGGGATCAGTTTCGCTGACCACGTGACACCTTTTACCCGCAAAAGTCGGCACTAACTTCGCCGACATGCGGCGGTCGCTCGGTCGGTATAGTTCACTTGCGGACTACAGGCAACGGAGTTTTCCTTACTTTGCAAAAAGGAATGGAGGCTTATGACATCGTCTTGCTGTTTCTCTGTGTATCCTGCTGTGTCTGTATGTGGATCTCCTCTAATTTTTTAGGGTTATGAGGCTTACGAGAATGCCTTACTGTCTGTGCGCCTTACTGTCTGTGTGCCTTACTGTCTGTGCGCCTTACTGTCTGTGTGCCTGTGTTTTTTCCTCTATTTTTTTCGTTTTCTATGCTGTCCGTGTTATATCGAAGGAAAGTGACGATTAATTCTCTCCAAAACCCCTTGATTTTGTTGTGGATATTAATAACATTAACGCGGATATAATGGGAAACTAAATTTTCAGTTACTTGAGACATTAATTCAAAAGCAGACCTACGTAACATAAAGAATACTTACTTACTTACTTACTTACTTACTTACGCACAGAGGTGAGCCCTTCTGGAGGAGACGCCAATTCTGCAGCTATCCAAGAATTTCCCAGCATTTTATGGAAAACGAATTTTCATTAACGTGTTCACAAGAGCCCTCCACTGGTCCCTATCCTGAGCCAGATCTATCCAATCCATACAGTAAAAGTATTTGCCTTTAACAAATTTAGTTAAGTCCCTCAGAAGCCAATAGTTGAGCAGCTAATGAAATAATGTCAGCATTTTATATAACCTGAAGTTTCATTATCTTGTTTAAAAAAGCCCAACATTGGTACCTATCTTACGCCAGATTAATCCAGTTCACAACCTCCCACAATATTTCTTTCAGACACATTTTATTGCTATTTTTCTGTGTAGGCTAAATTCTTGTTAGTGGCCTGCCTCCTTCAGATTTTCCTCCAAAACATTTGCGGTTCAACTTTACGAGTATTCACTCAGTATATTTCTGTGTTGTCCAAGTTCTGTTGTGTCAAATTACATTTTATTTGTACTACATGATCTAGCAATCTTATCCTCCTTATTGCGGAGAAGTTCCATTTGTATCTGCGTTTTATACCAGAAACAACTAGTGAAACTCCATGGTGCATATTAGCTTAGGTGTACAAGTTTAAGATTAAGGTCTTTGGACTGTGACACCGTGAACATGGTAAATAGGTGTCCACAGTACCGAGAAATTCGAATTTTACAGAAGCAATGTCAATGTTTAGTTTTTTAGGCGAATATAAATGTTTCAGAGAAACATAATGACTCCATCTTCAGAGTAGGAGTGTTTAGGCTGAGGAAGTGGCTCAGTTTTACGGGTTCTGATTGGAAGATGAAGCTAAGCTTTATTCATCCTCGTTAGGAATATGGTATCTGTATGGTTTCCTCTCTTAGGTAACTTCAGTTCCAGTTTGGTGTTTAAATCTGTATACGCTCCTCGTGTTTGTAGGGGTGGTCTTTTTTAGATTCTTGTAATGGGGCAAGACTGAGTCCACTTGGTACGTCGGTCACTTTTTGACCTATTGTACCAGCCCCGGATGACAGATGATGATGATGATGATGATGATGATGAATGTGAAGCAGTCGGTGGAATGAAATTTTTTTTGTGGGGGGACCGAAGTACTCGGAGAAAACCTCCCCCAGCACCAGTTTGTCCACCACAAATTCCACATGGCCTGACCTGGGCTCGAACCCTGGTCGCCGCAGTGAGAAGTCGACGACTAACCGCCTGAGCTATGGCACGGTCTGATTTTATGTCTACATACGTAGGTTTTAAGACTGTTGCACTGGACATATTTCATTGTCTCTGGTGGGTCTGATGTGTAAGGAAAATGGACAGGTTTCTGTCAGCAAGTGCAAAGGGGAAAGAATCCTCACCAGACGCCGTAGAGAGAGCAAAGCTCGATCACAGTAATGATAGAAGTGGAGATCACATTTCACTCCTATGCACCGAGTAGTATAATCTTAATGAAATGTTACGCTGACCACGCGACACCCTCTATCCGCTAAAGTTTGCACTACCTTCGCCGACAAGCGGCGGTCGCTCGGTCGGTATAGTTCGCTTGCAGAGTAAAGCCACGGAGTTAGATTTAGTAGTTTGTATAAATGTGGCGTATAAATATTTGTGACAGCAAATACTGAAGCTCACAGATGAAGTTGGCTGTAGCGGTAAAGCTCCTTATTTGTATCCGGGAGGTGCCTGGTTCGAATCTTGGCCCGAAAACTGACTGTGTTGACTGTGACTTCTATAGTTCTCCTCGATTACTCCTCACGAATTCTGGCAAAGAATCTTGCAGTAGGTCACGATCGCTTCCTTCCACATCATCCTATATTTCGACACTGTGTAGTCTGAGCTATTTGAAGCGTAATAAATACACCACAATCAAATTAATGAACAACATTATTATACTTGATCCGAAGCTGTTTGGTCCAAATACCGTCCTCACAATCCATCTTCGTATTTTATAATATTCATTATAATGGCATCCCCTTCGTTTTTCTAGCAACTAGTTTTGATCCATGGACTATCTCTTTGTAGTACTCCCATATGAGTGAATCTCTTCCGTTTCCTCTGCCTGATTAAGGAAGTGGATCCAGTTTCCGAAACTTTTTTTTCCTTGCCACTACAGCCCCAGTGGGCCTTGGCCTACCTCCATAAACTTCTCCGTTCACTTTGGTTTTTCTAGATCTTACACATTCGGTAGGACTCCTTGGGCGGGTGATCAGCTCGTCGCAAGGCCTCTACCTGTACACAAACACAGAAAAACGCACACACACAAACTAAACATCCATGCCCTGAGTGGGATTCGAACCCACAATCCCGGTTTCCAAGCGAGCGAAGACACTTTCCGAAACTTTACGCATATAAAATGCACTCCAGATAATGGACAGTGTGCAAGTAGATCAACAATTTTCACAGACCGTTAGAGAGTCATTACGGACAGAATTCTGCTTTTGCTGCCCGTAATGAACATAGTTATGTAATCAGTTTTACCTCGTATCTGTTTCAGAATTAATAAAGAGATTCGTGGATATGCAAAATGAATATGGCGATATTTTTAAGATGTGGGCAGTGGGATATCTGTACGTATTCCTGAAAGACCCCGATGATATTGAGGTAAGTAGATAATAATAGCAGAACAAATTCTATATGAATCCTTTAATCTTAAATAACATTATCACAAACTTCTTGAGAAAGTCCCTACGCTCCATCTAATTTGTTAGCTTATTGAGTCTGCTTGAAACCTGTTCAGTTTTAATGAAGAATTAAAGATTAATTTAGGAAATTAAATAAAATGGCAAGTTCAATTGAAGGAATTAACCAAAAACATTATATTATTTGTTATATTTTGATGCTTATTTATATATATATACTTATATATAAATATAAAATATTATCTGTCATGATATTTTGTTGAGAAATTTTATTTCTAACCTTAAGAAACTATCATACAATGAGGGCAGAAATTACTATCATCTGGGATCTGACGCCGTTCATTTTTGTAAATAGAAAGAATCCCTGAAGACGGATACAGCAGATGACACTAGTCTATGAAATTATACCATGTAACCTTCCAGAAGAGAACAAGCCCAATAGCCAGTTTCGTTAGAACCAGAAGTCTCACATGTATTGAGGGTGAGATCGGGGTACCGAGAAGAATATTAGGTCTTACGAAGGTGGAAGTAAGAGGAGGCTGAAGAAGTTTCATAAATTGTACTCTCCGCCAAACCTTAAATGAGATAATTAACTCTAGCGGTAGCGGAAGGGATTGAAGCATGCATTTAAAAGATAAATTTCAGTCGGAAAGCCTGTAGGGAAGAGACCACTTTGAAGACCTAGGCGTAGATGGGAAGTTATTATTAAAATGGATCTCATACATAGTAGAGAGCCCTTGGATGTCCCGACGCGAGTACAGTAGCCGTCAACATCGTGGTTACGTGTAGATCTAACTTTGCCAGAGCGTTTGAAACTGAGGGAGCAGGCAAAATGAGCTCCAAGGCAGTTCTAAGATCCTAAAGTCCAGTCCTAATAATTAACTCTGTGAAGCAGGGCCCTTCTTGAAAGCTTAATAGTTGCTCAGAGTCAAGAAATATCCACTATGCTACGGAATCCGAAAGTTCGTTACCGTTTGGTCGGTATTCACAGCCACAAGTTAAAATTTAATATTGTCCTCCCATCTAAACCTACGTCTCCCACGTTTACTCTTTCCTTCAGGTTTTCTCATCAACTTTTAACTCATTCCTTTTCTTTCCCGTGCGTGCCCCATGCTCCCCCATTTTGTTCTTCTTCATTTGATTACTCTAATAGTAGGACTGAAATTTATGAAGTGCCTCGCATTACAAATTTCCCTATCCTGTTATTCCCTCCTTTGTATTCCAAAATATCCTTGTCATACTGTCCTCAGACGTCCTCAGTCCTGTTTTCCCCTAATGTGAGAGATCAAGTTCAAATCCTGTAAAAAGCAGGTCACAAATAAATTTTAAATTTCTTAACTCAAATTATACTTAAAGGGGAGAGGTTACTGAAATCTTCCCAGTTGAGATGCCTCAGAAGGTACATGAGAAATTGAAAGAATGGCGAATTCGACATAATCTAAGAAGGGAGACAGACACAGGGAAGTTACACATGAGCTGAAAATGCCAGCTTATAATAATATTATTTCATTGTCCAGAGATACATCTCAAACTGTAAAATTGACTCAGCATTAAAATACATTAAGTTCTTGCTAAAGGTATTCCCAGTTAAATTTGTTTTGTTACTATACTGAAGATTTTCGTACAAAGTCATGTATGTAGATAAAGGAAGGCTGAGGAACGTAACCCAGTTTATATCTTCAGTTTCTCATGGTAAATAGGGATCCGTTTAACGTCGTTTCATGTAACGTCGCGGTTTAGAAGAATATATTCACGACGTTAGACGAGGACTTAAAACACTTAATATTTGGAACCAGAGCAAGCAATAAATACCGAATACATGATGACGTTGCCTGCCAGCCTTTTACATCTCTCTCCCTCTCCATCCTTACGCTTCATGGACAGACAGTGCTGTGATTACTACAAATGTTCCCTGGATTTGATTCTCGGTCCAGAAGCCAGTTATCTTTAAGAGGTTTGTCATAATTTTTGACAGAATGTTCTCAAATTACTTCCAGGCCACTTCCCTTCGAATCCTCACCGATAGCCATCCACCCATTAAACATATTAGCGTAAATAATGCAGTTGGTTAATCATATTTCAATAATTTAAGATATACATTCATGTTCACGTGTCACTCCACATTGTCCGTTTGTTTCAAGTGTGTAAAAATTAAGACGATTTCTTTTCTTTCTTTTTTTCCAGACAATTCTGAACAGCCGAAAACATATAAAGAAGAGTATAGACTACCAACTACTTGAGCCATGGCTGGGAACTGGACTTCTGACCAGCTCAGGTAATCCGTGCCTTCTTTATTTTAGGGGCACTGTGCGTGGAGTGGGCGTACAAGTTTCGAAAATAAAACCTTATCTCACCGACGAATGTTACTGCTTCCAGACGTTAGTGTATTTATTGAAGGAATCAGAACTTTGCATTCAGTCATCTACTTACGAGAAGTGGTTTCTACTGTCAGAGCGCAGAAGCCCACAAAAGACTGAATTTTGCAAAGTGTTGCCCCTGGTGAGCTCACATGCACAATCAAGAGACGCGGGTTTGAGTTGCATCTGGCAGACACTTTCTGGAACATTCGCAAATAACGCGTCTATTAACTTCCCCTTGCCTCTCCGCCAGATACTTCCTAATGAGATACTCATGAAATTTCATATTGAATTTTCACAACATGTTTCCGATATATGGGATTTGGTTCATCCTGGTCCGTCACACTAGAAATACTAAAAAAGATTATAAGCTCCGTCCAGTGTGACTTAGAAATGTTTCTTGATTCTTTTTAATCTTTCATCCATGACATATTTCCGTCTGAGAGACCATCTTCAGAATGATATATTAATACAAGCGGAAACTACAATTACAATGTGACCGGTCAATATCAATACATAAATACAATATAATCACAATGTCATGAATATAAATTTTGATCATTTAACAACTACAGCGATGTGGATGAATACATTAAAATGTTTATAAATTATTATAATTAGTCTGTTTACAAGTGCGGTTAAAAGAGACTTTCTTAAAATTTATAACCAATTCGGTTCATGTCCTTTATACTGCCTCTCTTTGAAGGAAGTGGAATGTCTACCACCTCGTGCTTCCGTTGTTTGATGAACAGGGCTCTTTAGTGTCGTCCTTTTGTTGGGGCCTCGCTGTGTTGTTGCAGTTTCCGCCTGTATTGATATATCCTTCTGAGGTTGGTCCCTCAGACCGAAACATATTAAGGATGAAAGATTAAAAAGGAGGAAAAATATATCAGTCGATAACATCTGATGTATTCCAGATTTGGTTGAAATCTGGCAAAAATGAAGATACATTTACATGAAGATCTGTATACGTTTCTGCGCGCATCTCGAATGCAATTAGTTAAATATTTATCGAAACGAAAATTATTTCAGACAAAACCTGTGGAGAGAACTAAAACGCATACTGCATGACCAGCATAAATTGTTCGGAACTCTTAAGGTTTCCGGTGCAACTATACAGAAGTGACTTTATGTTTTTAAATTCATAATTCGAGAACCGAAGGACTGAGTTGGACAAATTGGTTATTGCGGCTTCTTGCACAAGACGTAAAGGCAATAAGGACGGTAATGGGACAGAACCGCTGCAACATTTGCTTACTTCTCTCGGCGTTTAGTATGAAATATAACTTGATATGTGCTGAAGAGACCAGATTGGAAGATTTATGAAGAAATATAAAATTCTCGTAGCGTTTCTTCGTCTCTCCCGCATATGCAGCTTTTGCACTGCCTTATTCCGTTTCCATTACATTTCCTTTTTCTGTCACACCATTCAAATACATACTTCCTTGAAGCTCATAATCAGGAGCATGAGTTAATTCACTAGAAAATTTGTGGATTAATATATTGTTTTGTAATTAATATTTAAGATATGCGTAATCCTTAAAAAGTACTCATATACTTTATCTTATGATAAAAATTGCATATTTGCCCTGGGTTTTAGCCCTGATAAACGACTGGGAGCATCAGATAGGAATGAGTGGATAGAATTCCATAATTTGTACGCCTCGCGTAATGATGATTATGTAATTAAATCAAGGAGAGTAAGATGGATGGGACATACAGCACGCACAAGTGAAATTAGAATGCGTATATAATGATGGAAATGAAAAGTTCACGTGGAAGGCAGAAATAAATTATACGATATTATTAAACATTTTAATAATATCCTGAAATTTATCTCTGTCTTCTGTATTTGACGTAGGGTAAGAATAATTTTGCCTGTGGTTCTGTATGGGTGTGAAACTTGGTCTCTAACATTAAGGGAGGGACATAGGTTGAGGATGTTTGAGAACAGGGTGTTGAGGAGAATATTTGGACCGAAGACAGATGAAGTGACAGGAGGTTGAAGAAAACTGCATAATGAGGAGCTTCATAACTTGTACTCTTCTCCAAGTATAATTAGAATAGTCAAGTCAAGGAAGATGAGGTGTGCAGGGCATGTAGCACGAATGGGGGAGACGACGAATGTGTGTAGGATATTGGTGGGAAAACCAGAAGGAAAGAGACCACTGGGAAAACCAAGGCGTAGGTGGGTTTACAATATTAAAATGGATCTTAGAGATATATGTTGGGATAGTATTGATTGGATTGATCTGGCTCAGGATAGGGACAATTGGAGGGCTCTTGTGAACACGGTAATGAACCTTCGGGTTCCATAAAATGCTGGGAAATTCTTGAGTAGCTGCAGAATTGGCAGCTCCTCCAGAAGGGCTCAGCTCTATGAGTAAGTAAGTAAGTAAGTAAGTACAAGTGGCGGACTTGTTTCGAAAATGATAGCGATTCTTTGAGTTCCAGGGATTTCTTGACCAGTTGCCTGGCCATCACCCTGTGAAGGAAGACCCTGTACCAAGAAGACATAGAAGTGTTCAATATGCATTTCTCAGTTGCTATTTCTGCCAGGTTACTCTTATTTTGCCATTGTTCAAGGTGAGAAATGGCACTCACGACGCAAGATTCTCACCCCAGCTTTCCATTTTAAGATACTGGAAGGATTCATCCAGGTGTTCAACGTAAACAGCGAATTCTTGATCAAGGACCTTGAGGCTCAGATACAAGAACCGTTTGTGGACATGAACGCTCACATTACCAAGTGCACGCTGGACATAATCTGTGGTAAATATCAGTGCTCATACTGTCAAGTGCACTTTCAGCAGTTTACATTAATTCTTATAGGGCCAGTCTCCAAACACCAAACAGATGCAGTTCTTTGCCTCAAATTGTTTCTTTTCGGTTTTGTACATTTAGATCTGAATTGATTACTTTTTAATTATACTTGCCCTGGTAAAAAGAAGTTCCCACCATATCTCTACTGATTATCGTCTCCATCACAAGAGAAGGACTGCATATAGCAAAACAAAATGGCGTCGATACTGAACGTGTTTCTTGTTCATGTGACCGATTAGCTGAATTACGGAGTCACTTCCTTACATGCACAGAGGAAAGTGTTCAAATAATAATGAGCGGTGAGATGTTTAGTAAGGAGAACATGAATGACCGAAGCTGACCGAAATGACACGTAAGACCAGAACGTTTTCTAAATAATCAAGAGCTTGAACAAACGATCAAACCTTGTTGTTTGCAATCTGTTGTGTGTCATAATGTCTGGCCGTCAACACAATAAATATTTCAAAATAAACCAGTCTAGTTATTTACATTGGTTTTATTTAATAACAGTTACAATATTAGTGAATTTGTTAGTTGTTTTAGTTAAATGGACCTCAAATATACATATTCGTGTATATGTGGTATGGTTATATATATATATATATAACCANCTTTATCACCAAGGCTCATTATGTAATTGTTTGTGAAATTATTGTTATTATTATTTATTAAATAGCTGATCGATGAATTTATGACTGTGACGTGCACTTTCCAGAGGCCGCAATGGGCATATCTCTGCACGACAAGGAGCGTGATGACAGCGAATATACCCGAGCTGTTAAAAGGTAATTACGAACTTACAAAGACCGAACGAAACCTTGCATGTATACGGATCATTTGTTTGTTACATTTTGAGGACTTCGCGTATGATTCGTAAAGTATCAATAAATGAATGGGAGAAAGAAGTTGAGGGATTTGAAATACTGCATAATGAGGAACTTGTACTAGCTCTGTTGTCCTATAGGTGACAGTCTTACAAAATGCGGATGAGGAAACCTCCGAGAAGGAGGATAATGAACCATTATGTTACATCAAGGTATAATGAAATTATGTCATATTAGACACAGCAAAACGAAGGCTTGTAGCAGGGAAATTTGGTACATGGTTTCATGTAGTTGTATGTAGTTTAGCGCGTCATGATCTGCCACGAAAGTCAACGAGAAGGTACACGAATACCATATGATATTCTGTCACTTTGTGCCTAATTATTATATAATAGACGCAACAGAGGCCGGTCACGGTAGCCGAGCGGTCTAAGGCATGTGCTGTCTTCGCTCGCTTGGAAACCGGGATCGTGGGTTCGAATCCCGCTCAGGGCATGGATGTTTAGTTTGTGCGTGTGCGTTTTTCTGTGTTTGTGTACAGGTAGAGGCCTTGCGACGAGCTGATCACCCGCCCAAGGAGTCCTACCGAATGTGTAAGATCTAGAAAAACCGAAGTGAACGGAAAAGTTCATGGAGGTAGGCCTAGGCCCACTGGGGCTGTAGTGCCATTTAAAAAAAAAAGACGCAACAGAGAATTATCAGGACTTTTATACGTTTCAGGATGACGCAGCTGATTGTTCATAGACAGTTGTCTCCTTGGCTGCACAGACAGTTCGTATTTGATCTGTCTCCAGCAGGCCGGGAGCAAGCAAGACTGCTACGGACGCTTCACAGTTTCACTGGTCGGGTACGTAAGCAGTTGTCAACAAGGAACGTACATCAGGGATCCTACGTCAGTAAATGTCATATGATTGCTAAACCGGCTGTTCTCAGGCGTAACCACCGACGAAGCTGACTCAAGCGATAACGCTTCTACCGTGTAATCGGGAGGTTCCAAGTTGAAATCTCGGCATGGTTAACAAATATTCTAATATGTTTCGTGGTTTTTCTCAACCCGTCCGGAAAATGCTGGAATGCTAAATAGAATGCGATCTTTTCCTTATATATTTCTTCAAATTCTTATATGCTTTATTTTATTCATTTCTTCATTCATTCGTTCATTCATTCATTCATTCATTCCTCAATGGCTCTGCAGCCCTTTGTTGGGTCCTGGCCTCTTCTTCAGTTTCGTAATATTTTTTACGCAGACGGTAGGACTCCTTGGACGGGGGATCGGCCCGTCGCAAGACCGATACCTACACACAGGACAACACAGACACAGAATAAACGTACACACAAACTTCCATGCCTTGAGTTGGATTCGAACCCATGATCCCAGCGTTTGAGCGGACGAATATGGTGCTGTTTTCTTCTACGTTGTGCAATTAACTCATAAGAACTGTTGGGTGATTAGTTCATTTGTATTATGCACAGGGAAATAAATGACATATTTTCTAAGGACATTTTTAAAATTATCTGGAATGTAAAGTCCGCATATTCCGGTGGGAGTCTACCGTCGTTTCGGAGGTTAGAGTTCCTTCCGTTTTCTAGATCGAATAGAAATGAAGCAAGAAACCTTAAAGAAGCTGCTTGCCCCCTACTCTCGCTGCTTGTTGTTTGACTTATCATTCGACACTGAAAATGGAGACACCACGTTATTCCGAAACGTCACAGGACTTCAGCCAGAACACAGCACTCTTCATACTTGCCGCTGTGAGCACCTCAAGTCCAACTTCACAACATGTGTTCACTTCCAACTTTTTTGTATTAGTCATTACAAAATCGGGCGATTTACTCTGTCAAAATCAAAGTTACTTAACGACTAGCGGTTTACCGCCAATCAGTTGGTATTGGCTTCAAAACCCGTTGAGATTGAGGGTCAGAAATTCTTTTTCAGCTTAAACCTTGCGGTCATAGTCCTTATGTAACATCCTTTCTGATGGCAGGATGGGTCGGTAATTTACAATTGCTGCTCGGGTCCAAGTCCCGCGGAACTCATGACCATATTTTCCTGCCTCAGATTCGAGACTCCCTCAAAATCGTGAATCAGGTCCCCGTACTCATATACCCGAGGAACAGGGTAGCCCAGTTACACTCACAGGCACTGGGTTTCCTTTTTCTTTACCTAGTACGACTCTGGGCGGACCCAACAAGAAACACACTTTCTTAACAATCCTTTAATTGTTGCTTGCATATTGCACTGCATGCGTCACATGCAGCCCTCCCATTGTTAACATCAAAATTCCACCCTAATATAGCCCTCCGAACGTTAGCAAAAAAAAAAAATAAAATCCGAACATGTGCTCTATCTTTACCAGAAGGACAAACGGGCACTGCCTGGGAAACTTCAAGATCGGAGATATAGTTTCTTACCCCCCCCCCCACCAATGTTGTGTCCCTCACTACCACCCACACTTCTTCTTCTCTCTCTCTTGCATATTCTTTGCCACGAGAACGTGTTTACCTAGTCGTTGCTTAGCAATGAACGTCTATTGTGTCTCCATTATTCCGGCTTCCTGGCTTCATGCCACAATATATAGAGTCAAATTGTATGATGATGAGTGAATACAGAATTGGAATGAATATGGTAGGAAACGGTAAGGCCTAACTGAAGTTAACATCCCGCCATATGCAAGGAGGGACTCAGGGGAAGAAAGGAATCCTTCCTCAAGGTAGTTTACGTTCTTGCCGAGATTTGGACCGACTACAAGTACCTGGCCTGCTTCTGGTCCTAATTTGTGAAGATGTTGCTTCGAGAGCGATGGTGATAGTTTTTATCGAGTCAGATTTTCAGAAATGGTTAAGACATTACTGTGAAAATAACAATTTTTGTTGCACAGGTAATCAGAGAAAGGAGGGCCGAGTACACAGCAAATCTGGATGCTGAAAAACACTTTGTGTCAGGTAAGTAATATGAAGACAGCGCTTTCACACGCAATTCAGTTGAGAGGCATTTCCTTTCTGCTATCTGTGGGCACAGCTATAATTTCCATAATACACGTAATTGTCGAGTGTTGCCTATGTAACAAGACAAATAAATTCACGCAGGTGTCGGATTTAGTGAATAATTTTATTGGCCAATCTCCTCTACACTTCCAAGTACAATTATCGCCCACTTATAACGTCGTCAGATGTTTCTTACAACACTTTTGTAATTACGTCTTGCACCGCTAATCTCGGTGAAGTCTTCTGTTCCCTTTGTCGGATGCGAGCTTGTTTCTGCTCTCGTCGGAGCTACACTAAGAACGCTAAAGTCAAAACCTTCGAAGCTGGTCTTTTATAGCCTGGTCTCTGACGGAATAGAGCGCACTATGTAGGAGGCTTTGGTCTCGACCACTGTTATGCAAGGAACCTTTTGTTGTTTTTCATCTTCGGCGAAATGCGTTTGTTGCTTAAGGTATTCCTAGGCAACTGTCAGCTGGTACTGCGTTTCCGTGGAAGTATACTTTCCGGATTCCTGGCACGCCACAATATTTTTCTAGGGCAGCAGGTAGGGACGACAATATTATAATGGAAGTAACCATAAAATTTGCTTAGAAACCTACATTTAAACTGTCTAAGTTTATTTGTACTGTTTGCCTCAGAATATGCGGAATAGAAGAATAATTTATTTTAAAAATATTGCTAATTGGTATTATTTATATTTTGTATTTTGTCTTTTTCAATGTTGAATTTTTCTACACACAATGCTTTTCTACCCTTCGAATTGATGTAATGACAATTAATATTTCCGGTGCGTAATTCAAATGCTTCTGAACACGCACTATCATATAAAAGACGCATTCTTCTGCCCTCATGAGAGTAGCATCCAGCTGCGCTCTTGCCTGCTGATACGAAGCTCTCATTCCGAACTACAAGTTGCAAAAGTCACAGTTTTGCTGACTGTTACTTCAGTGCCAATTTTAGCGAATACAGGGTGTGACGTGGTCGGCGCAACGAATCCCCACGGCCGTTAATTTCGGTCTTCTAGGTCGGAGCTGTTATTTCCTTGAAATACCTCCTCAATTATCCTCAAGAGGCTGAGTGGACCCCGTTACAGACCCACTAACTACTCAGAAAATCTGAGAGCGCCGGGAATCGAACCCGGAATATCTGGGTCTGTAGCCAGGAACTCTTGACCACTAGATCACAGAGGCGGTCCTAACTTCGCCGACAAGCGGCGGTCGCTCGGTCGTTATAGTTCGCTTGTAGACTCTTGCCACGGAGTTTGCTTTTTGTTTTTGTTTTGTTACTTCTGTGCAACGTTGCTGGATTTAGATCTGTTTCTTCCTGGAGGCCATATTTGAAGTTTCCGTAGACACACATATCACGGCAACGTACCTGGATCTGCACATTTCTCTATGTTTCTGTCTTCACACTTGATGACAGACGGCAGTTTCTAGCGTACACATTACTAGGGAGCCTGTTCATATGAAACACATGCGTATGGAAAATTCATATTACATGGACTTATCTAACAAGTAAGATGCATGGTCTTTGCTTTTCAGTTATGTCTGGGGATGACTATGTACGTGTGAGTACGAGGGGGCATTTTATATCAGAATTATGTGGATTACTTCAGTACGATATAGTATTTTTTATTTCTCTAAATGTGGCCGCTTCATCATTTTAAAAGTCTTGAATTAAACGTCGCAGAAATGGCAAGTCAAACACCGAAATTGATTCCTTATTACCACCCCTTGATCTATATTTCAAATAAAATAATTTTATATACTCCATTGTATACACAAAAACTATATTAGCTAACCTGTGATAACCTTGACTAAATTCGCATATAAAAATAATTTTGGTTGTAAGACAATGGACAGCCGTTCACAGTAGCCGAGCCGTCTAATGCATGTACTGTCTTCGCTCGCTTGGAAACAGGGATTGTGGGTTCGAATCCCACTCAGGGCATGGATGTTTAGTTTGTGTGTGTGCGTTTTTCTGTGTTGTGTATAGATAGAGGCCTTGCGACGAGCTGATCACCCGCCCAAGGAGTCCTACCGAATGTGTAAGATCTAGAAAAACCGAAGTGAACGGAGAAGTTCATGGAGATAGGCCTAGGCCCACTGGGGCTGTAGTGCCAAGGAAAAAAACACAAAGGACCGTATGGACGTAATTTCCAGTAGAATTTTAAAGCTGTTCAATGCTTATCTGTCAAGCTCGTAACATTTCATTTTTAAGAATTCTGTTCCTTCTTCAAAAAATACACAAATATATGACACAGAATTACTGGGTTTTTGGACTTTTCCATCGCCCGTTATTCTAGAAAATTAAAAGCACGACATTTCGGAAAATTGATCTATTTCCGTCCTCATGTGAGGGAAGAAGACACATACTCAGTTGGGCCTCTTAAAAATAGCTAATCTCAATCAAGAGAATAGCTGTCTCCCCCTCATCTGAGGACGGAAGCAGATCCAGTTTCCGAAACGTCGTGTTTTATATTTCCTAGAATACCAAGCGATGGAAAATTTCCAAAGACCCAGTAATTCTGTGTTTTATACAACATCATCAGAACCCTTTATAATCTACGTGTACAAAATATTTCTCTTGAATTTTGTATGTAGTTGGAGTTTGTTTGCAGGGAAGAAAAGACATTTGGCATTTTTGGATCTTCTCATTGAAGTATCTGAGAAGGAAGGTGTGCTCACAGATGCCGATATAAGAGAAGAGGTGGACACTTTCATGTTCGAGGTAACAATCCCTGCATCCTCATAGTAGTCCCACGTGAATGCAATTACAAATTAACTTCCATTACAGCACCAACATTAAATCCGATTGACCCAGTATACCAGATTTTGTACTCTGGCCGTCAGTCACGGTGTGCTTCTGGGATTGGTTAATTACTCAGTAGTTTAATGTTGAAGGACATTTACCGAAAATTAGCTGAGGAATTTCGATAGTCGTAGTTATTTGCATTTTGAAGAAAACAGGGAATATTGCTAATCAGATAATTCAGTACATATAATTCAACTGTTAAACTATTTCATTGCTTCAGTTGTAATTTTGTAGTTATCAAGCATGTATTATATGTAAGATTTGAGGCTTTCACGGCGGTGACTATGAAGA